TCAGTTCGTACCCATTGATCTGCGCAACAGTCAAAGTCACCATCTTTGTTTATATGAGACCCATATATCGCGCGCATGCGCAGCGCGACGACTACCGCGCTTAAACAAGCACTTTTCTAGTCATAATTACATAACCATAATGCCTAAATTATGTGCTGTCTTGTTCTGTCAATACACGATCATTATCATTTTACAGGCATCTAGTGGTGGCGATAAACTATTACTGGTACTCCTAGATGGTTTACGTTATGATCTTTTCAACGCTGACATGCCTAACCTGAAGCAAATTGGTATTGATGGTGTAAAAGCTAATATGACAATACCTCCATTTCCAACGATATCAATACCTAGTACGTACACAATTGCAACAGGTACGAATTCTAGTTCAAATACCAACACATTAACTAGCCATAGACCATCCGCAATTAATGTATCGTTGGTTTAACAATTTATGCTATGCCGAAATGTACATCCACACAGCCACCACAACATATATTATAATTTAGGTTACGGTATTCGCTATGAAGATTTTAATAGTGTAAACGTTGTCAGCATAGCTGGGAAATGTTCTGCGTGTCACACAAACAACCGTGAAAAAACATATAGAGTCGCAGTAATTTGTAAAATAAACACTTAATATAATAAACATAATAAAGTGATATATTTGCCGGATGAATATAGTTTTCCCTATTCTCTGAGCGAAAATGTTAGTGCGTGTGTATGGCACTACTGCGAATGATTGTACTAAATATATGCCACATATTGGCGATATAACACTTCTCTTATTTCTGTCACCAATCGCCATTGCTGTTATCCCTTTCACATAAACCGAACTATAGACTTGCATATATAATATATATTTATATTTTAGGCTTGTACACAGAAAGTCACGGTGTTGTGAATAATAATTATTATGATCTAGAGACTGGGATAATTTTAGATTACGAACACACATGCAACGCCTCAGAGTGGTTTGATACAGGTGCAGAACCGATCTGGGTTAGTGCCAATTTCAGCGGTCTCACGTCAGGTACATACATGTACCCTGGTGGATCAGTTGAAATTAAAGGTGTTCGTCCAAATAAGGATGTGGCTAACACGGAGTGGAGATGGTATAATTTACCTTTTAAGAAACGTATTGATGATGTTGTAACTTGGTTCCGAGATGATGATTTGGACTTAGTACTGCTCTACCACGCACAGTTAGATACGATGCTACACGATACAGGTATGGAATCTTCTGAGACAATGGACATGATTAGTGAAATAGACGATGGGCTGGCATATCTACTGGACGAATTGAATGAATACAACTTACTGGAGGACATGAATATAATTATCACCAGTGACCATGGCCACACAACACCTGGAGACGTCATTCGTGTATGGGATTGCATCAGTGAAAATGACGTGGATTTTTGGATTCCTCTCAATGGCGCAGTTGGATATTTGAATCCAAAGTTAGAAAAACGAGAAGAGGTGAGCAAAATCTCAAAGTCAAAACCGATGATAATATTAGATGTGTTCACGCTCATCTCATTAGCACAAGCGAAAAGGTCAAAATCGTTATCCCGTACTAAGAAAACACTTAGTACGGGTTATGAAACGATGAGTAAGATCTAAAGCCTACCCGTGTTTAAGACCTCCTAGCACGGAATGCACTGAAAAATCAAACATTTTTGGCTCTTCCTTGCTTACTGTAAACACACTTTGGTACAATAAATAATACAAATATGAAATCGGTTTTAGCTCTTAATAGAGTGCTGCCTGAACACAACTAATACATATAGTTTGCATTATTTGCATGTTGTCATTTTCAAATCATATCGG